GTGCTCTTATTGTTGCTGCTCTTCAGGATTACACAAAAGAGCAACTTCTTGATAAACAGTTTTATTCTAAACATATGGAATGGTTTGGTGAACGACCTCTTTGTAATGAGATTAAACAGATTGCTGAAGGTTCTTATCAGAAACCAGGTGGATATGACGATGGAATTCGAGGCAAAGGATATATAGTTAATGCTCTTGAAGCAGCTTTATGGGCATTTTGGTCTGATGGAAACTCATTTGAACGAGGTGCTCTTGCTGCTGTGAATCTTGGTGATGATACTGACACAACTGCTGCCATATATGGACAATTAGCTGGTGCTTACTATGGTTACAAAAAACTGCCTCGATCTTGGGTTAAACAAGTTTATGCTAGGAAATTTATATTAAACTTGAGCAGTTGGATTGCTTATGAAGGAGAGATGTGGCGACCATCAGACACTTCATCTTCAAATATGTCATCTTGGCCATATGCACTTTATTCCGATGCAACGAGTACTAAAATAGCTAAACATGACCTGACCTTAAATCTAACTCATCCGCGAAGGGATGCTGCTACTACTATCACTCAATCAACCGAATATAATGAAACAGCAAGCGCAGAAAAATACGAAAATCCAACAAAACTTCGTAAAACTCAATCAGCGCATTTTACGAAACCTTCAAGCTCTCCAATAATTTCGCCGAAGAAAAAAGAAACACCTAAACACTATAATATGGCCGTGCATTTTACTTCTGAACCTGAGTTTGAGGAAGTTATTATCGGAGAACCTCTCGATCGACCAAGATTGAATGCATATCCTTTAATAACTGAGGAATTAGTTCACCCAGATAATACGATCCACTATTCTGGAAAAACACCATCTGACAATAACCAGCATAACTTGCCACTACGCTACACTCAACCAATTACTAATAAAGATGAATACGATTCACTAGTGCGAACGACTTTGAATCAAAGAATATCTAACCATGATAATAAAAATTCGAAATTGCTTGTCGAACGGCGTCCTTCAGACAAACATGTCGAATCATCTGGAAAGACTTCATTTTCAAGCCGAGCCGGACCACGACATCCAGCACCAACAAAACATTCCAAAGTGAACAAACATGATGACCTTATAGAATCAGAACCAAACTACACTTCGCAAGATATGCTTTCTTTTTCACAACCTCCTCTAAGGACCTTGAAAGGTTCATCGCCGAAATCGAGTACATCTCAATCGGGTATACCCAAAACTCATGCTAGAGAACAGCCTCTTGATCGGCCAATGCCCGGTGATTCTCGTTTTCAAGTTACCATTGATAAACAAACTAACGACAACTTTTTACCGCAAAAATCAAAAGGTTCTGTAGATTTTGCGTAACGGCAACGATGTTATCCCAGGTCGACAAGTACGGGCCGGTTCCTGCAGGAAAACATTGGAAATCGACGAAACATGGAATTAGTATTCCGATGAAGGAATTCGGTGACTGGATTTATCCGGTTCGGAGCGGAACTGATAGGAACTTGGCAAAATCGGCGGCCGAATACGGTCATCGGATTCCTACGTCGAATTTCTGACAATTTTCCGCGGGTTCCGGTCGGATACGATGTCCTTCCTGCAGGTTTCTGCCAGGAATTCACGGAATACTGCTTCAGGAATCATTGACCTGGGGTCCTTCCGATCCTATCTATTTAGAAGTTACAGCTATGAATTTTCACTGTTGAATCGAAGTTTTCTATGAATTTATTTAGATAAAAATTAATTCCAATCTCAGAAAGTTCTTGTGGGCAATATTTTCGTATATTGATGTGCAATATACCATACATTTATTTATTTATTTATTTATTTCTAGTGCTAGACGACAATCAATGTTTATCATGGTCTTGTGACGAGGTTTGTGCTTGGATACAATCATGGGGTGAAATTTACTCAACTTATATAGATGGCTTCAAGCGATATAATGTTAATGGATATCGTTTACTTCATTTTGTTGACAATGAAGCTCTTTGGGAGTTTGGAGTTGAAAGTTTATTTAATCGTCGAGTTATTTTAAACGGTATCGAAAATTTGCAAAAACGATGTGGAATACAGTTATCATCAAGAATCTCTTCTCTAAATGACTTTGCTAATGAATTCGATGGAGATTTCGTTCCTTCTCTGTATCTTTCGGATAATACATATCCGAATACTATGTCATGCATTCTACAACCTCTTCAAAACAATATTCATTTGAAGTTGTATAATCGAATTTTAAAATGGCTTGGACCATTACCTAATGACATAGATATTGACAAAATAGAACTTATTCATAATGCTGATTTACATCGAATGTTTCTTCAACAAATTAAGCGTACAGAACGTCGACAAAAGCAACAGGAATTTCAACCTAATTTGAATGCAGAATCTAATCCAATTGAACGAAAAAAAGTTCTTAATCGACTACATATGTTGACACAACAAGTTCATCATAATCGACCAGTTTCAGTCATTCGTGTTTGGCATGGATGTAAGCGTACTATTTTATCCAAATTATTATCAGATGGATTTGCAGCACTTAGCAGATTAGATAAGGGATGGTATGGTACAGCTATGTATTTTACATCATCTGCTGAATATGCTACAAAATATACAGATCCTAATGGTTGTTTGATTATGTGCTATGTTGTTTTACTCAATCCATTTCCTCTCATTACAGATGATGCACCACCTGATGTATCTAGTAGTAGTTTTCGTTTTTATGGCAGAGGAAATTATTCTAATTATCAATGTCATTTTATTCCTGTGGCATCTGTTAGTAACGATACAAATTGGAACTTTCGTCCACCACCAAATGGTGTTCAAGATGCAATCTATGATGAACTTGCTGT